TCCCTATGTTAGCTTTGTTAATCTCCTTAACCATTTTCCAATTCCTGAAACATTTAACCTTAAAGTTAGCTCACAAACTTGATAACTAAAGGAAAACTAAGCGTGGGGTCTTTCCACGACATCCACAAGATCATTCACTTTCGTAGGAAAGACGACATTTCCAAACTTGATCAGGAGAAGCATCTTCTACTATACAATGAAATCATCCCTCTGAAATCTCTTAGAACACAAAGTGGTGAGGGAAAGTTATTATATGGATTTAGGCTAGAGTTTAATTTTCCTCAAGTGCAAAATTTTCTAAATTTTTCCATTTCGCCAGGCGAAGTGGTACCACACTTTAAGTCCATTAGAAAATTTGGTGAATGAGCTATTCGACGGCTATATTCACCCTAAAGAGATTAGTCTGGTGGTAAAAACTAGGATCCTCCTTATTATTAAAAAAAAAAAAACTTATTTTTTTTATACCATACCAGAAGATATCAAAATTGCATATAAGTCAGAGTTGTTGGAAGAAGCTTCCATTTCTTTTATCAGAGTTGCCTCCTCTAATTAATTTCTAATGTCAGATTCAATCATCAGTAACTGAGCTTGGAAAAGTACTTTTACTGCACTTTTTAGTTTTATTGTTGGGTTACATTTTGTTTATGTTTTAAGTAGGAGAGGGCTCACATTTTTGTTGGGTTAGATCATCAAATCTGATACAAAAAAGATGAAAAGAAGAAAAAAAAATAGAGGGGCTTAAATGCAAATAGAAAACCCCCTACTTCTGGTTCCTTCGGTATGTCGGTTACACGAACAAAAGGTCTGACCGACCGAGTATAAAAAAACACACCGGAGGCTGAGATTTTTTCTTGAGGAAGAATCCACACACAAAGACGAAATCTCATCGATAATTAGTTATGGGTTGGGTTTGGAGAGACGATTCACCCGCTTCCGGCACCGGTAATGATATCACCGATCAACCGCTCGGCGGAGATTCCGCCGCCGATGGAAATTGCTCGACCACCACGGTGGTAAGATCGAAGTGTAAGACGGAGGAGGTCGAGCCTGGAAAGTTCGTCAGGAAGTGCGACAAAACCGAGGAGATCCTCCGCCACTGTTTGGGGAAGTGAGTGATTCCAATCTTGAACACCGCCTTAATGTAAATCCAAAAGGACCGGAATTGGAAATTTCTAGGGTTTTTAGAATCGGTGTTGATTTTGGATTGTTGAAAATTTTGAGTATTAGCCTAAGTGGTATCTAAAGATCAAATAGATGAATAAGTTTCTTCAAGAGAGTGTGTTGGTTATTTTGAATTGGGCTCTGATTTAGATTGTTATGTAAAAGCTAAAAGAGTATAGTTCAAGATTGACTCATTGTGTGTGTGTGTGTATCTCTGAGATTAGGATTTTACTAGTAATGGAGATATTGCTTAGTTATGGTTTGGATTCCCCTATTGTGTGGTTGAATGTTGTTTCTTCTTACCTGAAAGNACTCTCTGTTACTGTATAATTGTTGTACAATCGAACTGTTTAAGCGGTGTTTGTAGCTTTCACTCCTCACTTACGATGATCGGTAAGTTGATTCTCTTTGTGGTTATGTGTCTGATTTCAGGCCCTCTGAAGTTGTTCAATCCACTACAGAGCATACAGAAGAGGATGTGACAGACCAGATGACGAACAGATCCGCTCTTCCAAATCAGTTTGAGGAAAATCCCCTAAACTTCCCGGGACTCCGGAACGATGTAGACGCCATCGAACGCCATTTCTTGAGCGGAATGAAGAGTTTCTTTGAAGCGGCGGAAGAGATGAGAAGCAGCTTATTTGATATCATGGGAGACCATCACTCAACTTCCACCAGGAGAGGGATACCCATTGAAGACCGTCGGAAGTTAGAGGAGCATCGCAATGACGAAAACTCCCCTAGACCGCCATACTCCTCGGGCGAGATTGATCTCTCGGGCTTGGCCAAGGACGTTTGACAAAGGTCTTCTTCTTTCTCTCTTTGACATATAGAAGAATCCTTTAAAATGTAATCTGACTTTCGAAGAAGCGTGGGGGGATTGTCGTCTAATGTTAGCGGCTTCCACGTTTTGCCTACTGGTTATGTTTGTGTCTATTTTTTTTTTTCATAATCATACCAACCCAAAATATATTAGTATTAAATTTTCTGAAAAGTTAGTATCTTTTTTTTTTTGGCGTCGAAAAGTTAGTATCTTACATTGTTGTAATGTCTGTCTGGTCTATATAATTCGTAGTTTCCATTATATGGTAATATAATAAAAATGGTCAAAGTATGAGTTATGGACTTATGGAGTAGAATTAAAGATTTTAAATCTAACCTTACGTTTTTTGAAAGATTGGTTACCATTTTGTGGTATGGAGTAATTTAGAAAAAAAATAACAAGAAATATATTTTTTGGTCTTCGATATAACAATTTTCGGAATTTGAAGAGACCGAACTGTCAAATCCAATCCAATGTTATTATACACACAGACACTAAATAATCTTTAACACAGCCTCCTCACAGAGTCATCGATTTTGGTT